ATCGTATCATGGTCTGCACCAACATAAATCTTACCTAGCTCCCGAGCCTTTCAGGCAACATTCAAAGTGTTTGGCTCACCCAAGTTCCTCATGACTTCACTTCTCCAACTAACTTCCCTTCCATTCTGCTCCCCAGGAAAGATGCCAAAGGATGAATGAATTATGTGGTCTACTGTTTCCAGGCTCTGGGAAGCCTCGCTTTTCCTTCTTTGAATGCTTTCCCACAACTGCTCTCTTCACTAGGACTCCTGTTCCTTCTTCAAAATTCAGGGCAAGGGCCAAGCCTCTATGAAAGCATTTTTTGACAATTTGCTTCCTTCCTCCTCTCCAGTCTAAACAACAAAATTCTTATCTATAATTATCAACTGAAGTGGTTGAAATATTTATCTTTCTCGGTCACCAAACTGGTTTTATTTCAAAATGTTTTTTGTTTGGAATCACCCGGGGTCTTCCTGAAGGAAGGAAAGCTCTGAGTGATGGTATCCCAGAATTTGATATTCAAAAGAACCCTTTCGGATGATTCTTAATTCACACTAAATTTGGATAAACATCAGAATCGATAGTCACTGACACAGGATCACTGACCATGAGCATCAATCTCTCACTCAGGAACTTGTAGGAAAAGCAAACGCTTGAGTCCCAAACCAGACATACTGAATCAGAAGCTCTGGGCTGGAGCCCAGGCATATGGGTGTAACAAGCTCTCTGGGTGAGTCTGATGTTTGAAAAAGTTTGAGAACTACCATTCTATCTTATATGCTCCTTCAATACTTGACAAAGTATCTTATTCTACAAAAGTTTATTATTAGTTTTTTTTTTTTTTTTTAAGGCAAACTAGAACTGGGATTAGGTCTAATGTGTTGATAGATGGAAATGTTGAGAAATTACCAAGGAAATCATAAAAGCTGGCAGAGTAAGTTCAGCAAAATCCTGTGAAGTCCAAAGAACATTTATTTAACTCCTTGTTACAGAAGACTGTTGAGAAAATTTCTTAACTGTGGCCTGAAAATACTTCTTTTTTCATAGAAAGTAGGGAGAGTTACACGGGCAAACTTCAGTCTTTATCAGTATAGGCTAAATTCTCTCTGCCTCTTCCAAAATGTTAGGATGCATTAGGATATGGCACACCTTAAATCCTCTTCATAAAGATTTACTGTTTAGAAATTTCACTTGCTTGCTCTTTCTAAATAGATAAGAGAACTAATGGGCATTGTTTTCCATGAATAGATTCCATTTCCCATACTTACCCCTATTTTTGACATTATTATATTAGCAATTCAGTCAGTAGTTCATAATTTGCTCATTAGTTGGGGTCAATTTGTGAAAGAAATTTTACGGAACTTCCTAACTTAATGATGTCTTTGTTAATAATTTTTGTTTATTTGTTAGTTGAATTACTCTCTTGATTTTCTCACTTGCAAAATAAAAATATTGAAGAAGAAAAGGTAGATTAGCTAACAGATCTGACATTCGGTGCTTTAGTTACAGACTAATCTGAAGAAGAATAGATGTGTTAATTATTCTTTTGTAAAGACATATCAAGTTGTGCAAATGATAGATACCAGTGGCACTGATCTGAATGAATAAAGGAACAAGATCACCTCAGAGAATGATAAATCCCACGAAGCAATCCAACAGGTGGCATAAAGCTTGACCTGCTTAAAGAAAAGAAAACAGGTTAGACACTGTGGTAGGCACAGAGTAAATAGGATGTGGTTTTAAATAAACTGATGAAGAAAGGCTTCCAGGAGAAGGTAATATTTGAGGAGGTGAATATCTGAGGAATCGAAGGCAAAGGAACAGCAGGTTCAAAGTGCCTGAGGCAGAAATCTCAAAGATGCCAGAGTGATTGGAGTATAGAAGGGAAACATAATATGAAATGAAATTAGAGATTAATTAGGTAAGCCTAGCTTGTGTTTAAGACATGGTACACCATTGGGAGGACTTCAGTTTACAGTCTGCATAAGATGAGAAGTCTTTTGGGTATTCTGATGATTTTAAAAAGACCATCCTTTGTGGTGTGGTGAGTAGTCTCTAGGAGTAGAGGGTAAAGGCAGAAACACCAAATAGGATGCCATAAAAAAAGTAAAAAATGATGGTGTATGGTACCAGGGTATTAGCAGAAGTGGTGTTAAGAAATGGTTAGATTATCTAAATATTTGGCATATAGAACCAAAAGGATTTGATAATGCATTGGTGTATGAAAGTTTTGACTTGTCATGAAGAAGATCAGAAATTTAGGTTTGAGATGTCTGTGAACGTTCACCTGAGTGTGGTTAAGTAGGCAGTTGTATATACTAATCTGGAGTTGAGGAGGTTCAGGTTGGACATGTAAATTAGGGGTTTTATCATACAGGCCATTGAAAGCCATGAGACTAGAGGACATCACCAGAAACATAAGTGCAGATTAAAAAAAAAAAGAGGCCTGAGCCCTGGGACCAGAAGCATTCCACTGAGAAGAGGTCAGGGAATGGAGACAGATACAGCAGATGTGAGTATGTCCCAAGAGGCAGGAGAAAATCCAGGAGAATCTGATGACCTGGAGCCAAGTGAAGAAAGTGTTTCAAGGAAGAACGAGGGACTGGCTGGGTCAAATGCTGCTTTAGGTGAAGGAAAATGAGAACAGAGAATTGACACTTGAATTTCGCAATGGAGAGGTGGTTTATGAAGAAAGCAAGACTGATTGGAGTGAATATGAGAGAGAGAATGGAGTGAGAGGAAATAGAGACAGCGAGTATAAAAAACTCTTTGCAAGACTGTATCTATGACAGAAAATAGGAAAGCAAGGGAAGCTTGAGAGGAAAATGATGTTGAGAAAAAAAAATTCATGGGCCGGCCCGGTGGCGCACTGGAGAGTGTGCCGCTTGGGAGCGCGGCGGCGCTCCCACCAAGGGTTCGGATCCCATGTGGAGACCGGTTCCCGCTCACTGGCTGAGCGTGATGCGGGTGCAACACCGAGGCTTGTGATCCCGTTGCCGGTCCCCGGTACGGGTGCGACACCGAGGGTTGCGATCCCGTTACCGGTCAGTAAAAAAGACAAAAAGGAAAAAAAAATTCTTTTAAGATATATGAAAAGGAAATATATTTGTATATTCATGGGGATGATCTAACAAAGAGGAAGAAATTGATGATGTACGATTAAAAGAAGAGAACTCCCGGAGTAATGCCTTTGGGAATCCAAGTGCTCACAGAGAGAGAAACAATCCTTACACAGAAGCACGAATGCATAGTGCATCTATAGTAATAGGAAGTGAGACAGTGTATATAGTTGAGGATATTGGTGCTTGAGTCAATCTGGGGTGAGAACTCGTGGATGTTTTCTTCAATTGCTCTGTTTTCTCAGTGACATTGGAAGCAAGGTCATCAGTTGAGATGAAAGATGGCAAAGGAGATGATGGAGATTTGAGTAGAGTTAAGAAGAAAAGACTCAATTGACTGGAAAAAACACAGTAATGGTTGCTACACATAATTAAGGGCACACTTGAGATTTTCAGTCTGATTAAAGTGGGAAATTTTAGAATTTTTTAGTTTTTCTCCAACCATGTTTAGCTACACAGGTAGATGTGCCGAATAGGCAGGCAGATGAATTTTTTCAAAGGTGGGGTTTGGCAAACACATAATTGCATAGAGATCCAAGAGAATTGACAGTATATACGAACACAAGAGAGGGGTTACTCTGACCACAGAACATATTTTGGGTAAGGAGGACAAAAAATTATATGAGGGAAATGAGGAAGAATAAGTGTTGGTATTGCTAATGAATTGTAAGTCCTATTATATCTCAAATATGATTGAAATTGGGGACCCTGCTAGAGTGAGCTGGAATGTTTGGTTTTGGAATTATGGAGTGGCACACATCTTATTGGTCATGACACGTTCTAGGGCTTGACGATGAGAGTGTTTTATTCAAAGAGAGAACAAGATTATTAAAGGAAAGTGTGCAAATAGCTGAAAGTCCACATTGCTTAATGGATCATCTAAATAAATACTGGGTTACTAGTGTAATAGTAAGATATTAACAGTGAGCTCAAAGGTGAAATCTTTTGAGATGTGAGGTGGAGTAACCCAGGCTCAGCAGGTGACTGCAGAGGACAGGCAGTAGTGCTATAGTCTGTTGCAAGCTTTTTCTGTAAAGGGTCAGATGATAAATATTTCAGGCTTTGCCAATCAAATACGTTCTCTGTCTCCTCTTCCTGTTCTTCCTCCACTGTCACCTCTTTTTCTTTTTAGCACAATGCATTATAAAGTATAAACTATTCTTAGTTCAGAATTGTATGAAAACAGGCAACAGGCTGGATTTGGGCTTCAGGCTGGAGTTTGCTGGCCCCTGAACAAGACTGGGGGTAGAGGGGACGGTCTGCAGAGAGCAAGAAGTAAGGCAAACCCCTACCCCACCTGCAGCTCTTGTGACATGAGGGGAAACAGAGGAAGTAGCATCCTCACGTAGGTATAAGATTTCAGTCACTAGAAGTTGAAGAGAAGGAAAATACAAAAAATTAGGGAATTCCACCCAAAATCTTTGATGATGTGAATAAAGCTAAAATGGACATACCTGCACCAGTTTTCCTGTGGACCTGTGTTTCAATTTGTTTTGAGAAGTACCTGAAAGTGGAATTGCCAGATCACTGGAAGTTTTAGTCCCCACCCCCAGAAGACAATCACCTTGTTTTGAAATTGTATCATTGCCACTCAATTTTACTAAAAATTAAACTAATCTAAAAGCATTATCACCTTTATCAAGATATAGTTCAAACTTCTGGAATGTTAGTTTCACAAATGACAGTAAATTAGCTCTCCAGCCTGCTCCTCTGGTCTGCTTAATGCCATCATTACTTCAATTGTCCAAGAAAATATTTGCTTAATGTGAAAATACTGTAGATGACAGTTGAGTACCCATCTCTCTGGGCAAGAAAATGTCTGCTTGTGAGTGTCCATGTTAGTGTCGCTGCTTCCTGCTTTTGAGGAGGGATCAGGTGAAACAATAGCAAGTACCAGCCATGGAAGAATTCAAGAGTTTATTTCAAAACAACGAACACATTTTTTGTTTGTATGTGGTACAGAAATGATCATTTGGGACCTTAATCCAACTTATATGTCTATTCATTACATTTAATATTAACCCACAACTCTACTTACTTATTCAGAAAATCATTATCCCACAATTGTTTTTTAACAAGTTACTGCTATAGATGTGTGTGGCATATTCTGCTAGTTACCTATCGATTCTTAGCTTATTTCTTGCATAAGATAATGTAATTTGCCCAACAACAAAACTTCCTTCTTTGCAAAATTTCTTGTGATACAATCCTAGAAAACGAAATATAAGAAGTCTATTGGTTGTAGCTTCTGTGATTACTATTTTCTCCTGATGTAATAAAATTGCCTCAAGTGTAGCTCTTTTGCCAAATCCCATCTCTGCCTAAACAGAAGATTCAGATGGTACTCAGAAATGAGCTCAATAATTATGAGTATTTATACAAAAGATGGTGAAGATGGTGAAGGACAAAGATGGAAGTAGCTTTAGTAGCAGATGGCTGCGTGGAGCTCCTGCCCCACCTGAAAACTGCCTGTGGCTGTGCTGTTTCATAACGAGAATGAATTACATAGTTCACGGTCAGTACAAATAATTCTGCTTAGTCTTGAAATACATTCCATTTTATTTTGTGTTCCTCCCTGCAATGTCAGGATGGGCTTTTCACAGATTAAATTTTTCTGTCATTGGTCAGTTACTTCTACAACTGTAGTCTTTGGTTGTTTCAGTTTCTCTACCTTTCCCCAAATGCAATGCCGCTAATTCCCCAAAGTGCACAGTGATCTTTTGCATTGAATAGTGCAACACTTGGTGCCTGGATTCTAGAGGTGTTTCACAGAAGAAGAGAAATTTACAGTGGTAATAAAATGGCGTTGTACTGTAGCAACTGCTTTTGAAGAGAGTTGAAACTTAGCTCATTGTAATTACAAGTTTTTCAGACCCTAAATGTGCATTGATTAAAATCTCAAACATAACTCAGATGGGCAATATTCGCTTAATTTATCCTCCTGCAATTGCAAATAATAGCTAACACACAAAAAGAGAGTATACAAGAAAACAAGATACTTAAAAAGTAAGATTAACAATGTAAGGGGAAAATTGCAGAAATAGCAGATAGACAATGTGGAAAATTCAATGAAATCTTTCGGAGTTAAAAAGAAAAGTGGAAAGGTAACTATTTACAGTAAGAATTATTAGACTATATGTGCACCTTAAGTAAAGCATTCCAAGAAAAAACAATTTCTAATGTGGATTTTTTGATGTTTTGAGATTTACTTTATTCTGAAAATGTATCATTGATAAATGTTTTATTATAGATTTTCCCTTAGCCAATTAATATACTGATTTCTCATCCTGTAACTAATTTTGAATTCAGGAAATGAAAGTGTTCCATGGAATGCACCCTCTATGTGGTTATGGGTCACCTGAACTCCAGCATTCCGAAGTCGGGTGACATACATGAGTCCGTCATCTCTTAAGACGTCATATTGAGTCCGTCATCTCTTAAGACGTCGTATTGACAGGTGATGACATAGGTCAGGGGTAAACCACGCAACTTCTTGTCATCAGCCAACAGAGGTGATGCCCTCACGTCTAGGAATCCTGGATACTTTTTTGCCAGCTCAGAACTACCATGAGTTGGATTCTTATAAATATGGCCTTTCTTAAACTTCTCGGGGAGTAAGGAACTCCAGTTAACAAACTGGAACAGATGACTCGATTCCACAGGAACATGCTGGTTGGACAGCATGGCTTCCTCAAGTGATCTGTCTGTAGTAAAATACTCGCTCCAGAACCTGACCATGAGTGATTTGGACAGAACTGGAAAATGTGAGTTTTCTCGATATGATGGTGAATCTACATCAAGAGTCTGAAGGGCAGGATAAATTAAAGACTGGATCTTCAGTTTGACCTTGACATCTGGGTCGTTTAAGAGCTGAAAAATAATTAAGATGATGTGCACAAATTATTTTCATTTTAAAACAATAAAATAACCACAATAAGACAACCTAAATATAAATTTATAATATCAAAAATACTTAAGTAATAACTAAAATATACCATTTCAACAAACTTTCAAATATTCAGAATGGGTTTCTAGAACTAAATGTTCATTAATTAAAGGATACTTTTAACTTAAGGAAAATTGTCTGTTGTATAATCCTCATGGATAATACAAAAGGATCTAAGCAATAATTAGAAAGTTAATGTCTTCTCCCTTCTACCAATAATGACAACCAGCAGAACTGCATAAATTTGACCTTATTTCTCTTTTGTTATGTACAGGTTTATTAAAGTATACTAGTGTACCAATAGGCTATGCCATGGAGAGGAAGGATCACTTAGGAGGATTTCTGATTTGGCTTTGATGCTCAAGTAACATGCTGCTTTAGGGGATTTGAGCAGGCTTTCTGTGTGAAACATTCCATTAACATTACTCTTTCCTATATCAAGCCTAATGTGCTAATATTTGTAAAGATCAGTGGTCTGCAAAGAGAATGCCCAAATATCAGAGCAGGCAAAAAAAGTGATCTCTAAGAATAAAATTTCATAAAATGTTTTATTTTTTGAAAACATATACTTCAAAATGTAATTTTATATATATTTTTAAGTGCATAATATATTATACTGTAAAAGGCACATATAACTTCTACATTAAATAAAGATATTATTAAATATACCCACAATACTTTGCAAATTGTGGTATTTATCTGCATTTTAACCGTATTGGTCAAAATAGACTATTCTGTGCATTCTGGAAATCGTTTGTAAAGATCATTACAGGTTGCTAGATGTTTTATATAAATTTATTCATGTGACCCTGAAAACAGCTTTGTAAAGTTGAAATCGTTCATTTTTTCTTACAGATGAGGAAATGGATGTTTACAGAGATTAAGTGACCTGGGAAAGATCACATCTATGGCACATTTACTGCTTCTCAAGATAATCCAAGTCTCCTGATGTCCAATCAGCCTTTTCTACTACATTATGAAACCCACAGTAATGATTAGAAATCCACTCTCAAAGTTTCAAGTACTTGTTCTATATTGTGGTTGGAACAAGCCCAAACATAACATTCTTTCTTTTTCAGAATATTGTCCGCTAGACACTAGTAGCCAAACATTTTCTTTTAGTGTGAAAAAATTATAAATTAAAATAGCTAACAAAACAAAAACAAATAATAGTGATGCTTTAAAATGGCTTCAATTCAGTTTGTAATTAAAGTAAACTAATGAAATCCAAATTTCCACATATGTAGCTCACAGGTAGCTTCCCCTCCTGACTCCCACTACTGCATGGGGGAATAGTTTAAATTTTAAATAAGCAGTAGAAGTATTTTTCTTTGTTATAAAACTAAGCCCATTCTCCATAGTAATCTGAGATGAAAATGCCATTTTTTATTATTACTTTGTTACCATTATTAAATGACAAATAAAAATATCTGATTTTACATATACACACAAAGAAATCTTTTGAATTCTTGTAAGTAGCATAGAAATCTTTGAATATGCTGATAATTTCTAAAAATAATGTGATTATCTACCAACATAAGGTCATTGTCTGGTAATGCAATTATATTATCTAATCCATTTGAGTAGAATAATATTTCACTGAGACATGTATAATTTTAAATAAATTGTCATTTCATTAAGAAAGAAAAAAACTATGACAAGAGCAGGAGCAGAGATTGACATTTTTATATTTTGGGCATTTCTTCTCAATATTCTCTTTAATACTTCCAAAAAATTACTATCTTTGTATTTGCATTTACATTTTGATTTATGTATTAGATCTGTTTATAAGTAGGTTATTTAAAAATATATAGAAATGACAAGCATTTTACCTGCTGAGTCACGGCTGCAGCTAAATTCCCTCCTGCACTATCTCCAGAAACACCGATTCTCTCAGGGTTTACACCATATTTTGCAAGAACTTTTTTGTGTAAGAACCACGTTAAAGCATTATATACATCTTCAAATTGAATTGGGAAATGATACTTAGGTGCTAATCTGTAGCTGTGGGGGAAAAACATGGTTTTTAATATCACTTTAAAAAAACTTTTTATTAAAGCATAATATGCATGCCAAAAGTGCACATATCATAAGCATCCATCCTTAATTTTCAAAGTGAACACAGCCATACAACTAGCATCCAGATCAAGAAGAACATTTCCAGCACCTCAAGAATCTCCTATTTACTCTCTCCAATTCCTGAAGCATCCACTAATCTGACAAAACAGCATTGATTAATTTTGCCAATTTTTTTCCTTTAAATAAATGGAATCATATAGCACGTACTCCTGTGTACCTGGTTTTGATTGTTCAACATTATGTTTTTGAGCCTCATCGACATTGCTGTGTGCTTCTATCTTTCTGTACATAGTACTTCATTGTGTCGATATACTGCAACTTATTTATCCATTAACATGTTGATGGGATAAGTAAAATAAGCCAGTCACAGAAGAACAAGTATTGCATGATTCCACTTACATGAGGCATCTAACATAGAAAAATTCATAGAATCTAAGAGTGAAACTGTGGTTGCTAGGGGTTGTGTGGAGGCAGAAATGGGGAGTTACTAATCAATCAGCATAAAGTTTCAGTCCAGCAATATGAATAAGCTCTAGAGATATGTTGTACAACATTGTACAGTCGACAATAATGTACACATAGAATTTTTTAAAGAAGGTTGATCTCATGCTGTGTTCTTACTGCAATTAATTAAATAAATAAATAAGTACTAAATAAATATTTTTTAAACTTAAAAATATGTTATGAAATTTGAGTTGCTTGCTGTGAGGAAAATGGAGTCAGTACAGTCAGGCCCCCTCGCCTCATATCTGGCTGGGTATGATTCAGCACATCTGTTGTAAACAAGTTATAGAATAGTGTTAGTTTGCATGTGTGTCCATGTACCCCTTGGCTTGCTGCCACTGTTGTGTTCTTTCGGTACAGAAGACAGTGGCTCTGAATCGCTGGCTGGCAGATCTCGCATTGGAATAAATCCTGTTATCAGCCACAGAATCTTTTTCAACTACCTGACTCACCACCTGCACAGGATGGGGCAGAGGGGTCTGTGATCCAGCCCGACAATTGGCATAGTTGTCATCATGATTCTGAGCAGGTAAGGGAGTCACTAGCCCTAGGGAGGGGGAGGAAATGTGGCTGCCCTTGAGTATGTAGTACCCAATGGCCACTTTCCTGTTGACCAGGGTCTGGCTGTTGCTCACTGTACTGTGAGTCGACGTGGACCAGGAACTCCATGAAGCAGTGCGGCTTTGAGATTTGCAGCAGAAAGCAGACTTGTTGGAAGCACGAGTACTTGTTCTGCAGTTGGAAGTACAGCAACAGGTCACTCCTACTTTTGACACCAGGGATGATGGTGAATCTGATGGTAAATGGGAGAGACTGTGCGTCCCCTGGCATGACCTGTTGTTCATCAGAAAGTGAAGCATGAGCAGCCCATGGAACCAGGTGGGCAACCAGTGGGCAACACACAAATGACCCAATATCCCACCTATGTCCCCTGCACTCAAGTTGAGTTGGTTGACTTAGGGAAACAGTTTCGGCAGAAACAGGGTGAACCCCAAGCTGCTTGGCTCCTGTGATTGTGGGACCTAAGGGTGGATGCTGTGATGTGTTCTGGTGATGAGATGGAAAAGTTAGCCTCTACCACCATGCACCCATCCCTGCGGCAGTGGCTACAGAATAGCCACAGATATGCACCAGGACAGGATAACCACTCCTTGATGGAATGAGTGAATGCAGCCATCTGGACCGTGTGCATGAACACCAGAGAACTGCCCCAAACTGTGAGTAGATGGCAAACGTATGCCAAGTTGGTTCAAATAATTTGGGAACTGGGGATATAACAGTCCATGTTTAATGTGAACACCTGTGGCTCAGATGATGAACATTTTACCAGCAGCATGAGAGATGTAGTGCTGCAAAAAGCACCATCAACATCCTTTGGGTCACTGATGGCTATACTAGCCCCATATGTTGGTCATCCTATACATGAAGTGATGAATATGATGGCCAGTTTCAGTGAGGCAGAGGGGAGGAGACAAAGTGGGTCCAAAAGGTGGTGAAGACTCAACCGCCAAGATATGCTCAGGATTTTACCTGAAAGGGGCCGAGCAAGACCAGCTGTATGCAGATAAGGTTTGACTTGCTTATGGCAGGACCTGATGGGAAAAAAAATTGACTGGCAACCAAATGTGGTCCTGTTTGCCTTGTGGCAACAATTGCACCCTGAACAGCATTACACCAAACTTCCCAGAGAGAAAAATGATAAAGTATGCCCAGTGAATCTGAAAGATTTCATGGCTACTTCTGTGGAGGCAGATGGACTCTTCTCCTATGGCTAGGGAGCAGGTCAAGGTGCTTGCCTTCAGGGGGCAGATGAGGACTGGAGGCCTCATGTTGAACTGGCAAGACGTTGGTCAGAGACAAATGTACAGTGAGTGTTAGCGCTGGTGGATACTGGCAGAGAATGTAGCTTGACACATGGCAACCCAGATAAGTTTCCGGGGGCCACAGTGAATGATGATGGCTATGGAGGACAGACTATTACAGTCAAATCTCTGGGCATAAGACAATTGCCCCCTCATCTATATGCTGTGTATGTATCTCAAGTAGCTGAATACATCTTGGTTATAGATGTACATTATGGTTTCCACCTGCAAATGACAGTTGGAGAATTCCAACTGCAGGTACAAACAGTGAAGCCTATGTTATGGGGACATGCTAAACATGACCCACAGGTATTATCCAAGCCAAGACATGTAGTCAATGTGAAACAGTATCGCCTGCCAGGAGGTCATGTGGAGATAGGTGCCACTATATCCAATTTAGAGAAGGTTGGTATTATTCATCCTGCACATAGCCCATTTAACACCCCTGTATGGCCAGTGAAAAAAACTGATGGGAGGATGACTGTGTATTATTGAGAACTGAACAAAGTAGTGCCTCTTTTGCACGTGGCCATGCCTTCAGTTCACAGCTCGATGGATCAGCTGACGACTCAGCTGGGAACTTATCGTTATGTGCTATAAGTTCCCCTGCAAATGCTTTTTTCTCTATCTGATCTTGGCTGATAGCCAAGATAAGTTTGCCTTCACCTGGGGAGGAAGGCAATGGACTTTTCAAGTGTTGCCCCAAGGCTACCTGCAGAGCCCAACCATCTATCATAGTTTAGTCACTGGGGACCTACCCAAGTGGACTAGGCCCAGCATGGTTACGTTTCATTATATAGATGATGTCTTACTAACCTCTGATTCTCTTGCAGATTTAACCAAGGTGGCTCCAACACTGCTAGGCCATTTGGAACAATGTGAGTGGGCCATATATAAGGGTCTTATCCTTTGGATATGTACTTGGAAATATCAACGGTGGATGGTAGACCACTGACCCCTGTGGGACAAGCCATGTGGCAAGAGTTATGGAAATTAGGACATGAAAAGGAAGTAACTATTTTCCATGTCACAGGACATTTCCCCTTAGCCAGTCTGGGCAATGATGAAGCTGATGCCTTGGCTAATGTAAGATGGCTGGAGAGAGATCCAGAAGCTGATGTAGCCCAGTGGTTACATTGATGAATGCAGCATGCCTTCTGCAAGACCATGTGGTTGATGGTTCAAAGATTGAACCTGCCCATAAAATGGGAAGATATAACAAACATGTGTTGCCTTAGAGAGTCCACACCCCCAGCAGGTGCCACATACTGATGGGCAAATAATTTGAGGAAGAATGTTCCTGATTCGATGGCAAGTGGATTTTGTGGGACCACTGCCAAGGTCAGAGAATTTCAGGTATATCTTCACAGCTGTTGATATGGCTACTGGTCTTCTATTTGTATGGCCTTGTCAGGCCCCAGACCAGGTAAGCACTATTAAGGTGTTGAACAGCCTTACAGCCATGTACAGTTGGCCCCTGGTCATAGAGAATGATAATGAAACCCACTTTACTGGACATGAAGTACAGAAGTGGGCTTCCCAGTTGTCTATTCAGTGGAAGTTACACGTGCTGTATCATCCCCCAGCAGCAGGAATGATTGAAAAGTACAATGGTCTTCTGAAAAAGTGACTAAGGCCATCTGCCCAACCCCCATCCCTGAAGGGGTGGACACGGCATTATGGCTGACAGTCAGGATCTTAAGTGAGAGACCCCACAAGGGTGGACCCTCTGCAGTGGAGGTTCTGTTGCACAGAGCCTCAGCACCTGTTCCTGCAACCATTCTTTCCAGGGTGGTAAGTTAACATGTATTCTGCCAGAGGGGTAAGAACTGCCTCTTTCGGTGCCAATAACCCTTTTGTCTCTTTGCCCATAGTCTTGTGGCTGCCAACACCATAGTCAACTGGGCACATACATATGCACCAAGTTTCCTACCAGTGTGGCTGCAGGATTCCCATGGGAGATCATCCCAATGACAACTGCTACCTGGACCTGGCCTGAACGGAATGCTGTGTGTATATCTTTGACTATCATCATAATGTTACTCAGGCTTTGCAGCAATTAACCAGTGAAATTCATGCTGTCCAAAAACTGACTGGTGATCCCTCCAGGAATGGTGGGCCAATGTGTTGTCCTCCTGGAGGCAGGTGTTAGCTGTACTGGGAGGAAGTGCCTGTGTTTTGGTGGCATGTTGCTGCAGCCTATATTGCTGCTGTGGTCTATGAATGCAAGAGTCAGCCATCCTTGCTAAAGGGAATAACATGGAAGATCTCAGATGCATAGATTGTACAGTGAGGGACCCTGAAGAGGTGGAGTGTGAGGAAAATGGAGTCAGTATAGTCATGTCCCCTTGGCTTATATCTGGCTCGGTATGAGCACATCTGTTGTAAACAAGTTGTATAAGAGTAGTGTTAGTACACATGTGTGCCCATGTACCCCTTGGCTTGTTGTCACTGTTGTGTACTTTTGGTATGGAAGACAACAGCTCTGAACCACTGGCCAGCAGAGCTCATGTCAGAATAGTGCATGTCTATCCTGTTTTCAGCTACCAGAATCTTTTTCAATTACCTAACTCACGACCTGCACAGGACAGGGCAGAGGGGTCTGTGATCCAGCCTAAAACTTGCAGTCTTGGGCTTTCACAAACAGTCCTTCTATGAATATTCTAGTATATGGTTTTTTTGTGTGTGTGAACATATGTATGTATTTTTATTGATATGTACCTGTGTTATTGATGGCCACAGAGTTATGCATATTTGCTTAATTTTACTTAATACTGTCAAAGAGTTTTACAAAGTAGTTCAACCAAACCAGCAGTAGCTATTCTCAAACCAGCAGTTTATGAAAGTGCGTGTCAATTCATATCTTTACCAACTCTTGGTGTTTTATATCTTTTTCATTTTAGCAAAATTATGAGGTATACAGAGTTATCTCCTAGTTATTTTAATTTATACTTTCCTGATGTATACTAACTTTTGATGTTTTTTAAATTTCTTAAATAAGCTTTTTATTTTGGAGTAAGTTGAAGTTTACAGAAAGATTGAAAAGACAATATAAGAGATTTATCAAATTCCCTTCACCCAGCTTCCTCTAATATTAACATCATATATAACCAGGGTACATTTGTTAAAACTAAGAACTCAACATTGTTACACTACTGCTAATGTCCTTTTCTGTTTCAGGATCCTATCCAGCATGCCACATCATATCAAGATGTCTTGTCTCCTTAGTCTCCTCTGGTATGTGACAGTCTATTTTTGTGTTTCTCATAAACTTGATAATCTTTAGGAGTATTGATTAGATATTCTGTAGTATATACTCATTGATGATTTGCATATCCTTTTCTGTACATTGTCTTTTCAAGCTTTTCCCAATCCTTCCATTAATTGGTAGGTGTTTATATATTTTGAATAAGAAAAATATATAAATGTAGTTTTTACATTTATATGTGTACACATATGTGTACATGCACACACATACATATATACACACACACACTTTAAGACTTGTATTAGTGTCTTTTGATGAATATAAGTTCTTTATTTTTAGAACATTTTCATTATTCCCGAAAAGAAACCCTGAACCCATTAGTAATCACTTGCCATTTCTCTCCACCCCTCATATCCAGACCAAGGCAATCACTAATCTACTTTGCCTTTATAGATTTGCCTATTCTGGACATTTTATATAAATGAAATAATACAATGTATGGCCTTTTGTGACTGGCTTATTTTACTTAACATAATATTTTCAAGATTTATCCATGTTTTAGCACTCGTTTTCATTGTCAAATAGTATTCCATTGTATGGATATACTACATTTTCTTTATCCATTCATCAGGTGATGAACATTGGGTTGTTTCCACTTTTGGGGTTTTATAAATAATGATGGTATGAAATACAAGTTTTTATATGGATATGTTTTCATCTCCCTTGTGTATATACCTAGGAATAGAAATTCTAGGTCATATGGAAACCCTAAGTTTAAACATTTAGGGAACTGTGAAACTGTTTCCCAAAGTGGCTGCACCATTTGACCTTCCCACCAATATAGACAGTTCCGATTTTGCCCTGTCCTCACTAACACATGTTATTATCTATTTTTTTTATTATAGCCATCTTAGTGAGTGTGAAGTAGTGTTTCATTGTGGTTTTGATTTGCATTTCCTTAATAGTTAATGATGTTGAGCTTCTTTCCATGTGCTATTGGCCATTTTAATTTTATTTATTTATTTATTCCTTTTTGTCTTTTTTCGTGACCGGTAACAGGATCACAACCCTCAGTGTCGCGCCCGTACCGCGACTGGCAATGGGATCGCAACCCTCGGTGTTGTGCCCACACCACGCTCAACCAGTGAGCGGACCAGTCTCTATATGGGATCCAAACCCTCGGAGGGAGCGCTGCCGCGCTCCCAAGCACCACACTCTACCGAGTGCGCCACCGGGCCAGCCCCATTTTAATTTTAATAGAACCAAAATTATCCAAATTTCTGTAGTAGACTTGCCATTTATCTTTAATATAAATAAAATAAAAATATATTTAAAGGCAAGGCATGTATTTGCATAAAATACCCAAAGTTTATCTTTTAAGTATGTGTGATTTATTAGTCATTTTGAAGAATCAAACACATGCATATGTCTTATGGTGTCGCTTAACTTGCCTTCTTTAAGAAAATCCTTTTTAAAAATAAAGTAAGAATACAAAACTTAGTATAAGCTTGGATTTTCTAATTACTTTAAAAACATATTATCCTAAACTGCTACATCTATTAATGACCACTTACAACCAAATATTGAGCATGACCATTTTCCAACTTTATAATAATGACTTAACTTGACAAATAGTCATGACTATGTTATTTCTTAACTTTAGTTCATTATTTAAAGTTTCAGTTTAAATAGGTATATTCTGCTCTGGCGTTGGTCTACATAGCAATCTACCCCTAGTTTTATTGTTCTAAGTGTTATTTTCAAACACAGATTATTGATCTAACACAGTATTTTGCACCAACTCATCAATTTTGTTTAACTTGAAAATAAATTTTAATATTTTAGGCTCATCAAGTGTTAGGCACTGTGCAAAGTTCCCTTCAAAGATAATATCACTTAGTCTTCACAAACACCATCTGAATTATTTATAACACACTTTTATAGATCATCCTTCAATTCTGGGGCACTCATTCATAAAAACTGTGAATTAAAGTTTGAGAGGAAATTCAGTATAAGTAATTATGTCTATGCGTGATACAGTTCGAATTTATGTTAAAAAAATCTTTACTTTCAGCTCTTCCTGCCTGCTTGAATAACACGCACACGCGTGCGTGCGCGCGCGCGCACACACACACACACACACACAGATTTCTTCTCAACTCTAGCCAGAGTAGGCCTAGCCTTCACTTTCAATCACCTACCCAGTGTCATCTGGGAAACATTTATTTTTGGCATAATCATGCATCAGCTACAAAAGCTGAGAGAATCCTGGTATATAAGGCATCTGGTCTGAAAACAAAACAACATGGCTCTTACTTGGTTGATATGACAACAGCATCAAGTCTGTCTGCTGTCCATCTTGACAGAAGATCATAATTATGAAAAGCTGAAAAAAGGAATAAAAACAGTCTCTTAGTGAGAATGGACAAATGTAGACAAGAATGTTTCCTTCATAAAAGTCCTACTGTTCTGGTTTTATGTGCTGATAATTCTTCACCTGTTCTACACTAAAATAGTAGGGAGACAAATTTAATGCTGTACTTATCCATAGGAAACTGCCTACCCACAACTCAGTGGAATTTGAGTTTCCCAGGGAGCCTCCCAATTGCTCTTCTTTCCTCCCTTTATCTTCATCCTGCACATTTTGTAACTGGCCCTTCTAAGCCAGCTTCATTCTCTAGAAGACTAGCCCCAAATCTCTTACTGGAAGATGTATTGATTTGGCTCTGTGTTAGAATATGGGTATGCAAAGATAAAAAGACAAGTCACTGACTTGACCAATGTATAGTTGGATATGTGACACAAGGAGATATAGATGGAATTGTGGGAATGTAGAGGACCCCCTAAGTGTGCATGGAACAACAGAAAAAACGAAAAAACAAAAACCCAAAACACCTGAATATAAGTAGGATAGAACTATGCCCCTTTGAAACACAAAGCTGGAATCCCCTCATTTACTGTTTTCATTGTACTGAAATCCTTAAAATGTCTCTAGCTGAAGCCTGTCTTTTTCCCTTTTTCCTGTCTGAGAGGAAGACTTGACGCTCTTCTTATCCATCTCCAACCCTCCTATCCATATCCAGCTACCTTACCAATGCTAAAAATCTTCCTCCCTCTTATTTCCTCTGGGGTATTCATCCATTGGTCAACACCCCCGGCCCCTCTCTTTTCCAATATATTTCTATTTATTGCCTTCATTTCCTTCAGTCTACCAACTTGTTCATGTCTCTCCCATATAAAAAATGAAATAAAATGCTCTAACTTAACTCTCTTTTTGATCATTCTCTTGCTTATTCCTTTCACAACTAAGTCCCTTGAAGGGCAGCAATCTTTTTTACTATTCCCTTACCTCTCGCTTTTTGCTTGCTTCAGTGTGTTTCTGTGTGGATATTCCATCAAGTTTGTCCTCAACGATATTGACACAAAAGTTCAACATCTAAGAGATGCACTTCCGTCCTACTCAGTCGGCGTCTCTCTACCATTCAGTACTTTGTATTAATTCCTCTTTCTTGAGGCTCTCACCCTCTTTGCCTTTCTTTTCATTTTGTGACTTTGCTTATGCCTCGACCCAGCACTCATATCTGTGTTTCCCAAGGATCTGTCCTCACCCTCCCAGTCATCCTGTCAGAAACAGGATAGTCATTTCATTTCTGATCTATCTCCCCCCCACCCTGGTTATTAGCTCTCCTAACTTCCCACATTAAATAACAAATTTGCTTAATTTCAAGCTTATCACATTTCTTGTCTGGACTAATTTATTCTTCCTCTCTGGGGTTCAGTGTTCTTCACTTAGACCCAGTTCAATCTCCACGCCCCCAGTTGATCTGTGTTCTATTTACTGGAGGTAAACAGATGAATATTAAAGACTGTGGGACTCAGCTGGGTTAGATGATTTTCTCAGAGTCACACCATCGACTTTATCCCAGTCCTTCCTCTTCTAAATATATCCCTCTTTCTACTGTAATTCTATACATCAATAAATTTGCAAACTTCATACCTAATCTTGATTACTCTGGTCTACTATTTGCCACATTTACCACTTTACAACACACTGTAATATTTATTTGTTTATCTGTTAATTAGAGATTTTTCTTCCATTAGAATTTACCTCCAAGAAGGCAGAGAATTTTGTCCGCTTAAAGATGTACCCAAAGCTCCCAGAATATTGCTAGGCACAAAGGAAATATGTGAGTACATGAATTAAGACATAGATGATTCTGTAATGTCAAATGGAGAATGATAGAAATAGCAAGGTATGTTTTCTTAGAGTAATTGCAATAAATAGGAAAACGTTTGTCTTCTCAACTCAACTTGTGTTGATAAAGAAAGACCTCTCTGAAAGAGAATGATTTGATGCTTGGAGGAAGAGTAAAACTTTGCATGAGGACAAAGTAATAGAAGGCAAAGAGATTGCAGTGCCCATGCACAAGGGCACTGTATGTCTACTAGAGCCTTGGTAACATTTTTGTGAACCATCTCAGTGACAGTTTTTCAAAGCATCCACTTACCAGCACTTCCCAAACACCAGCCACCACCATGGATGTAAAACACACCCCTTCTTAGAGCTTCTGACTTCCTCTGCGGCATGTATATACGGACAGGAATGTTATTGAATTTAGTCTCAGTCACAGTGACATTTTCATCTGAGGTCGGTGGGACTTCATTAAATCTCATGGTAATCATTAGGGAATCCATAAAATGGTTAAGTCCCAGCAGCTCAACAAATGTAGCCTAAAAGCAAAATTCACACGTCTTAGAATCAAGTTCCAGATGTCAGAAAGATCTATCAACGCACAAGTACACATTAACCTTTAATAAGCTCAAGTGAAAAAAACTAAATTCTCATACATAAATCCTCTTTGGTCCTTTTAAAAGAACCAGAAGTACAAAGGTTATACCTATAATGGTTGTTAAAAAGGAGAGAGAAATCATTCATTTAGTCCTCATTCCACAAAAATGTGACAGTCTTTACTAGACTTTAGGGTTCCAGAGATGAATAAGAGAAATGTTCTTCTCAAGAACCTCAAAGATAAGTAAACTGTTATAAAGCAATGTAAATGCGGTAACAGAGCTCTGCACAAGGTACTCTGAGAGCAGACATCTGGTGATTATAAAGCTACCTGGGAGTAGCAAATGAAAGGAGTTTTCAAACAGGAAGCACAATTTTATCTGAGTTTTAGGAGAAAGATCTTTGCCTAAGAATTTAGCTAAACAAACCAGATAAAAACCCTTCCAGGCAGAGAAACCAGTTTAGGTTAGAAATGGGAAGGCTCTTGATGCAGGGAGGCTTGGCTACAGAGCTGAGTGCACATGGGGGCCGGGAGGCAGGGTTGGGGGGGAAAGAGTGGGTGGGAGAAAGAGGCATGGCCAGCCTGCCTGCAGCCTGTCCTTTCACCCTAGGACAAGTCAGTGTCCTAAGCACGCTACTCATCTGTATGTTAGATAGACAATATTGACACATCCACTTCAGAGAATGAGCCCAGGGAGGTTGAATAAGTAGTTCGAGCTCATACAGCTAGTAAGTGATATTTACCAGGATTCTACATCAAGCAGTTTGATTCTTGATTTCATGTCCATAGAATAATCCTTCAACAAAATGTGTAAATACACACTCAAAGATTGCTAGACATTTGGGAGAAGACAGCTGGGAAAAACAAAATAAAGCAAGAGAAGAATTGACCACAAAAAACAAATAAACAAAAATACAAAACAAATGATTTAGGAATAAGAAAAGACATTAAAACAATTTTTAAAATGTATATCCTTTGAGAGCTCTGAAAATATACTACATTTATAGATCATGGGCAGAATTCCCTCCTCCCCCCAAAAAATAAGAAAAACAAAAAAATGGTTACCAGACAAGAAAAATTAAAAACGAACAAACAAAAATTATAATTGCTTCAATGAATTTTTAAAAAGAAGATAATAGCAGTACTCAAAAAATCAAGAACCTCTCACAAACTGCAGTGCAAAGACGGCAAATACACTCGTATCGGATGAGAAAAAAATCATCCCCTTCTTAAAACTCTTTAGTCGCTCTACATTACAAATAAAATTGAACCAAAACTTACTACCATTGCCCACAAAGCACTGTATGATATGACATCTAACCTCTCCAAACTAAATCGAAATAATTTTTCCATCAATCCCAAATGTTTCATAGGATTTCTTCAAGTTAACATTTTGCAGCTGGGATTTTTGCGCTTGTTGCTGTCTCTGCTGGAAAAGTCTTTCCTCGGTACTCAGGGCGGCTTGTTTCTTTTCATCCTGCGGGTCTCTAAGCAGATGTTTCCTCTTCGGAATGTCTTTCTCTGACCCAGCTGGGATTTTTGCGCTTGTTGCTGTCTCTGCTGGAAAAGTCTTTCCTCGGTACTCAGGGTGGCTTGTTTCTTTTCATCCTGCGGGTCTCTAAGCAGATGTTTCCTCTTCGGAATGTCTTTCTCTGACTATATATACAGTAGCCCTGCCCTGCCATCTGCCCAGATTACGCTCTTTTCCTCCATCTTATCTTCTTCAAGGCACTGCTCACGGTCTGAAATCATTCATGCATTTGATTGTCATTTATTATTTTTCTCCTCCACTAGAATATCAACTCTGTGGAGACAGACTCCTTGTTTGCCTAATAGGATTTGAGAGATGGTTGAATTGTTGAATAAATGGGAAATAGAACAGTCCAGGAGCTATAACGTCCATCTGGTTTAAGTTAGGAAAAGAGATTTTAAAAAATAAAGGCAATAAACTAATCAAAGAAGTAATAAGAAACAAGAAAACATGGCCAAGGTGCCAGAAAGAGTTACACCCTTTTTGTTTTCAGTGCCCAAGCTGCTCTGGCAAGCAGTCGGTTGCCATGATCCCTCATTCTGATGTATCATGCCTCAGAGGGTTGACTCTGGGCATGTGCCAACCAGCCTGCCTACAGTATTTCCTTGAGAACTTATTCAAATTTCCTTAGTCTATTCCCTGAAGATGATTGCATAAAAGTCTATAACTCACACAGTGCTGCCCAGTCAGATGATCTCTGACTTGTTTAAAAAAGTTAAATACAAAATTACACCTAAGAAAAAATTTCAATGAATAGTCACTATCATGACATTAATAGTACTTAAACAAAGCATTTTTCAGTAAACCTTCTCAAGTGGCTCCTCGCTTGTTGTTTTTGATATTTTTTAACATGACTCCAACATGTAAAATAGAAAGCAAGCAAACAAACAAGCAACGTTTCTAAGCAGCAAATAGACAAAAGCCACAGCACTTATTTAAAAAGATGACTAAATAACTAAATCAATACATCAACAGAGCAGAATCCTGGAAAACTTAATTCTTCATATGGTTGCATATGCTCATCTGAATTCATAAAATTCATCTAAATTCATAAAATTCCGTACTTACCAAATGTTCTGTAGTTTTCAGTTGTGTGTGCAACCACATCATTCTCCATGGCTCCTCAAAATTATCTGGGAGAGGTGTATAAATATAATATGCTAGAAGAACCCCCACAATCAGAAGGTACAGTGACTTTCTTCCCATGCTGAGTATCTTCTGCTTCTCTGTCTTCAGAAACACAAAGTAAACTTACTTGATATGCCTGAATAGTGTACTTTAATAACCAGTATGCTTCAGCTCCACCCAGAAGCTTTATCTTACTTTTTGAATATAGAGTTGCTTGCTTACTTTAAGGGTTGGCATAATAAGGTTAGAATTTCATTGTTTAACAATCATGGTGAGTTCAAAGTTCAATGTGCAATAGCAAATGGCCAATTTCTGTCAGCAACCGTACCCTTATTAGTATTTCAGTAAACAAGCAGGTATTGAGCAATAACTTGGGGAAAATTCTTTAATGCTAAAAAAATTATCCATAGAAAATATACAAGATGCAGAATCCTTGCTTTAAAATAGATAGTCATGGAATAGGGGAAAACTAACAAACATGTTTTTTAGGTTTTGAGAGTATAGGAAACAAAATAGTCATTGTATCTGCCCCTACAGAATTTGCATGATCTTGCAGGATACAGAAATGTTAACAATTATTTCTGATAATTTTTGAAAGGGTGGGGGGTTATAAAAAAAAGTTAATAGTAATGATAACAGTAATAGTGAGCATTTATTAATTATTTAATCTATGATCCAGGCTCTATGCTAAATGATTTACATATATAATCTGAGTGAGTTCAAGCAATAAATCTATGAGACCAGTATCATTATTTTCCCGTAAATGAGTAAAATGAGTTTTAAGGAGGTTAAACAACTTGCCCCAAATCATTTAGCTTTATGAATTGCAGCCAGAAAAACCCAGGTGGCTAAGACAGTACACAGAAAGCTTTTATTAAAAAACACTTTAATTTTTTCCAAGGCCTAGAATATATACAGTTTATAATGGAAATACAGAGAGAAAATAATAATTATATAACAAATCACATTCCTACATTGCTGAGATAACTTCTGTTGAAACATTAGTGTATTTTTTGCCTTTTTTGTTTTTTTTCCCCACAACCATCTTTCCACCAGAGACCTGGAGTTAACCACTTCTTCAAGGAGTCCTGGTTTTCTTTGGTGGAAAATAAAAATAGAAAAGAAAATCTTGGCATTAATTATACTCACTGATGCTAGCCCATTTAGTGTACACAGCTAAAAAGTATAGACTTAAAGATATGAGTTTATAATGATTTTTAAATTTAACACTGCAAGATTGTCCCTCAATTTCTGTTTTCATGTGTATATAGTTTTTCCTTTTAACACATAATATTACTGAAATCTTAAGTGCTGTTGTTATAAAATTAGAAAACACTTATGTGCAAAAAAGAAAAAAATATGTTAAACCATTCCATGGAAAACATTGCTTTAAAGCAGCATTCTGAGAAACTGGATAAAATTTGATGTGTACTTTTGATACTTTCTAAGCATTCATTTTTCGTGTAGAAGCAATATAATAACAATATTAAAAATGATTTAAGGGCCGGCCCGGTGGCGCACTGGAGAGTGCGCCACTTGGGAGCATGGCGGCACTCCCGCCAAGGGCTCGGATCCCATGTGGTGACCGGTTCCCGCTCACTGGCTGAGTGCGGCGCGGGCGCAACACCGAGGGTTGCGATCCCGTACCGGTCAGTAAAAAAGAAAAAAAAACTTGGGAGCATGGCGGCACTCCCGCCAAGGGCTCGGATCCCATGTGGTGACCGGTTCCCGCTCACTGGCTGAGTGCGGCGCGGGCGCAACACTGAGGGTTGCGATCCCGTACCGGTCAGTAAAAAAGAAAAAAAGAAATGATTTAAAACTTAATGCAACAAACCAGGGGTCACTCACCTCCCTGACCCAATCACAATTTCTCCTGTGCACATTGTGGATTATGCCTGTTTCAGCTCTCTGTTCTATCTGGTTTGCTCCACTGTTCTGTGCTGATGTTTACTTTCTGTATTATTTACAATTTCTCGAATTGGTTGAATCTGTTTCACTTGTCACTGAACTTGTCTCTTTGACCCCTAGAGATTATGTTTTTACCCCTGAGGAAGTCACTTGAGATCTTTTCTTGAAGGAACACTCGAGTAGTCTTAGTTTCTTTATGTAAATAGTAATAGTAATAATAATTATAGATAACATCACTGATATTGTATGATTGTTTCCTTTAATTCTCCTCACAAGGATTAAAAAATTGACACTATTCCCATTTTAAAAATGAGGATTCTGCTGCACAGAAGGTTTAATTAACTCACCAAGGAGACACAGCTAATTATCTTATTCTGCTAGAATTGTTTCTTATTACTAATGGACAATCTGCTTCTTAAATGTGGAATTATCTTTGTTCTTCCTTTATTCTCTTTAGAACAAGACAGCCTACATTTTCATTTGGTTCATCATTCATCAGCTGTATATTTTTATTATCCTGAAAATTTGTTTCCTGAAATTGTCTCATATTTGCTTTTCACAGAAATATTTGAAAGTTTCAAGACATCAATACAAATATTACTACAATCAATAAAATTACTAAAGGATATTTACAAATTTATTTGAAATACTTTCCACCTTAAATTTCTGCACTTGACTCAAATACTCAATAAAATCACTAGAAATTCATCCTCTCTGTAACGTTACCAGTGTGATATGTGGTCAGTTTCATTCGTTTCAGTATGTGTTCATTTTGCAGGAATATTTTATATTTCTTTTCATTGTTATAATAGTCAACAATATACTTACTATGTCTCTGATTACAACCCACCTTTCTATATTCTTCTCTGTAATTCTGGAATTGGATTTCTATAGACTATGTTTTCCAAATGCTGTTGCCCTGTGGATTCTGGTTGATTTCTGCTGATGGTAAGCACTGGCAGAAGATTGGAAGGTGGAAGAAAAAAAAAGGAAAAGCGTTACCTCTTCTTACTTCTGATTTATCCTGGCAGCCCTACAATCGCCAAAGACAGTACTAGCTACAGCATCCTTCAGAACTCCCAGCGACAGCCTGTTCGCTACCTACACCTCTTCTTACTTCTGATTTATCCTGGCAGCCCTACAATCGCCAAAGACAGTACTAGCTACGGCATCCTTCAGAACTCCCAGCGACAGCCTGTTAGCTACCTATTGAAGGTCCAAGCACCTGTGTATCAGCGTCAGTTGTGTGGCATCCTTAGGCGGTCTGAGCACCCATATGTGCAACCAACCGACCTTCTGCACACTTGGGTTCTGAATCTCTACCTCTTCCTTTTGGTTCACCCAACCCCCTGGGGGTGCTAGCTGCTTCTTGCAGTTAGAAATCTCTGGTATTAGGTTTTTCTTTTCTTTTCTTTTCTTTTTTTTTTAACTTCTAACACCTTTGTTATCAGATCTCTTCTGATAACACTTAGCATAATTTCAATACCTCTGTCTGGATCCTGATGATCCAGATACCTGATGTATCAGATCTCCTCTGACTGTCTGGATTCTAATGATAGAAATATGTGGTGCACTTGTAAATACATTGCACTAGTATGTACATTATATATACCAGTCTTTTCCCCACAACTTCCTTTTAGCTTTTCTTCTGAAGCAGTTACAACAAAAGGAGAAGCCTAAAAACATGAATTTCACAATGTTGCTTTCGAAATTTACCCATGAAAATGTTGACATATCTGGGGTGCAATTTCTCAAGGCAGCCCTAGGTGTCCAAGTAAATTAGAAGTTGTTGGTTGGAAATAGACTTTTCTAACTCCTCTCTGGTCTACAGTTCCACTGACTCCCATGTTAGATTTTTTCTCCAAGGCATTTCAATAAGGAACAAGGTTTTAGTTGAAGGAATATAAAAACACTACTGTATGGTTTCTACTGTAGGGTGTCTCACTGTCAATTTT